AGACACGGATCATTACAGTCAATGTATACAGCATTACAGCTGCTGTAGGGGGAACGGCGACTAGCGTCGGGTTAACGTGGGTAAAACCCCATGGACATCATTTCCCGGTTAAACTTGAGAGGATGGGAGAAAAGCAAAGCTGGAGAGAGATGTTTTTTTGTTCTATCCCTTGCTTAAGCCATGAGCAGACAGCCGAGAAGGCAGCTTCGCTCCTCCGTCCAGGCCTCCCTCTGCAGGAAATCTTCTTTTGACACTGAGCCCTCGGGGCAGTACTTCGAACAGAATACTTACAGTGACAAACCGGTTTTCAGCAAAGACAAAGCCAAAGCACAAAGTCCCCTGCAATTTTCTAAGACTGTTTTTCTCCATCCCAGTGTGTAAAGCCTCTGACAGGAATAAAACTGCAGCAAGATACGTGGGGAGGGAGGAATAATTTTATTTGGACTTTCATCCTTGTGGAATGAACACACACTGGGGTGTGTCTGCTTCGTAGGGAATCTTGCAACTTGTGTAATGAATAATGAAAAGAGAAGTGGGGACTTGGGGAGATGGGAAGCTTGTCCAGACCTGAATTTGCCTGGCTAATGAACGGGTTGAGAAGCAGATCCTCAGAATTTAAGGCCCAAATTGGTTTGGCATGTCTTCTGCGCTGCTGTTCCTGTTGCGAGGAGTGCAAGCGCTTGTGATTCAGCACTGCGGACAAATTTGAACAAACCGGTTTTATTTTACTTGGAGCTGTTCTACTAAATCAGCTGATGTACTTGAACACTTCTGTTTTCATCAGCGCTACTGCTACAAAACCAGCTGCGCTGTCAGAAATTACCTGAATGGATAGAAAACACGTTAGCAAGTGGTGTGGACTGAGGTTTGTTAGAAATCTGTATATCGCATTCTATGCTAATACACTTAAATGCTCTTAAATAACAGTAAGGCACGTATCTTTACACAGGAGGCTCCTGTGTGTAGCTTCCTCTGCTAACATCGGCGGTTTTGAGGTGGTGTTGCCTACAAATGGCAACTTTCCCAACAGGTCTGGGTGACTTCTCCAGCATGTGCGTTAGGCACAGCCATGCCCGGCGCTGCCTTCACAGCGGCTCCCGCATTTTCAGTACATCTCGCATTGCAGCACATGGGACACCAGCGACGCTTTTAGCTTATGCATCCACTTTTACATAACTTAGTTCCAGTCTGATTAAAATCCAGCTCTTGAGACTGGCTGGATCTCAACTGAGCCTCATTCTTCAGTATTAAAAAGGGGGAGGGGTCACTAGAAACAGATTTGAAGCTCGCTGTACCACAAAAATCTTAGCAATAGTACCCTTCAGCTTGCCTGGCCCCTTTTGCAATTTCTCCTTGGCCCAGCAAAGAGAAAGGAGTAAGGGGAATGATTTGTTGCCCGCTGCTGCTCTTTTGCACCTTCTTAAGGAGCTAATGTTCTTCTTGATCTTCTGCTTAAGTGCTGGTTGTGCATTTTCAGGTTCCACTGCAGATGGTTTTGCTGGCAGAGAGTGTATTTGCACAGCAGAAATCCCTCAGTCTCAGGCTGATGCTGAAGAGCACCACAGTAGGGGGACACCGAGACCCTGCGTGCCACGCCAACAGTCAGTCCTCATCCCTCTTGTGTAGCGGGATGACGAATACAGAGATGTCATCGTAAGATGCCTCGTGGCTGTCATCCAGCATCCACTGGTGGTCCCTCTCCTTTCCCCTTGCCCTGCTTACCAAGCACTTGGCCAGTTCTGAAAATCTGTGGGTGGAAAAAAAGCAAGGTTTAGTTTAACGTGGCACTGCCCCTTAAAAACAACATTGAGATGTGGCTTTGTGTTATCAAAATAGCAGACGGCAGCTTTGGAATTGTTTCTTCAGGATGGGGAAAGACTCGGAGGCAGTTTCCAGAGTCACAGAAAAGAGTGCTTGGTCATGCTGGAGCTGACCTAGAAGCAGAGTGATCTCAGCCTGCTTCCGGTCTGACCAGGTTCTCCGGAAGGGAAAACGACGGCAAAGCTGATCTTACCTGTGAGGATCTGTCCTGTTTTCTGCAAGGAAGCTCCTGACCATATGGGCCACCTCTTTGTTGCTCAGAACATCCCAAAGGCCGTCAGTTGCCATGATGAGGACGTCATCTTCCTTTATGTCATGCAGGGCAAAGTCAAATACATTCACCTGGAAAGCACAGGAGTAAATCGGTGACAATCCCTGCAGCGTACTGGAGGGGTCAGGGAGGTGACTCTTCCCCTGAGAGATGACTTAAAGTGGGACCAGGGTGCTCTGAATCTCTGACATCCCCTCGCTGCTATGCTTCTAGATGACTCTATTGGGGATTCTCTGGGCAGCATACAGAGAGATGGGGGATGGAAAAAGGACGTGGCTAAGATCTGTCAGGTCTGTAAGAGGTGGGAGCTACAGAGGGGGAGCGGCATGTTCAATTCCACCCCGCAATTCCCATGTGCCACAACTGACCTTGGGGATGCAGGAGAGGAAAGGTTTGACTTCAATGTTGGTGTCGATGACTTTGAGCTGATGATCCCCTAGACCTCGAGAGACAGCCAGAGTCCCCAGCAAGCGAGCCTGGCCCCAAACAAAGCAAAACAGTATTGAAAGATACAAACGTGGCACCTTTGAGGGCTGATGTGTGGCTTGTCCTGACTGACCTATGTGTTTGTTGCCTTTAGGACCCTTTAGGCATCACCCAGAGCATCCCTTGGAGACTGGAGAGATGGAGGAGTGATCAGAAGTGACGGCTGGATGTGAGCATAGAGACGGCCAGCCTGCATGTGGAGTGCTCCTGGTGGCCTGCGGTGTGCTCTGGAGTTAACAGCACGTACTCTGGGTAATGCTGCAGACTGCAGGAAGCCCATGGTGGCATCTGCTCTTGATTTGGGGTGGCGAGGAAGAAAACTGGGAGAGTTTGGGATAAGAAAAAAGGCGGGGGGAGAGCGGGAAGTCCTTTCTCCTGGCAGAGGAGATTCTGCATTGGCTCCTTGCAAAGAGGGTGGTGTGTGGGTTGCAGCGCTGGGGGAGGTGACGGGGCTCTTTCTGCTCGACTCCAGCAAGCAGATGCTGGATGTGTGCAGTCATCGCTTCTCCCTGCCTCCTCCTTCCCTCTCCAGGCTCCTTTTCTCATCCTCTCCTTGAAGAAGAGGGTCTGTGGAAAAGGTGCTCGTTAGAGCTGGAGGAAGCAGTCCAAAATGGGATCTGATGGAATAAGTTCTCATCTCAAATGCGTTCTTGTGAGCAAAGGGAGATGAGGAAAGGGCAGGTGGGCTCGGAGCTGCTGTCTGCTGCGCGAGCACCTACTCTGGAGGAGGGTGCAACCTCTCTGCTCCGGAGGGCTCGGGTTTAGACTAAGCAGGCAGCACAGTGCTAGCGATGGGAGCTGCTGTATGGGGGCTCTGGGACAGCGCCACGCTGGAGAGCCCCACAGCACTGGGTGCTCTGCAGCCCCAGTCTGCTGTAGTGCCTCAGAGCGTGACCGTGAGTGACAGGGACACTCAGGACCCCCAGCAGATCCAGCAGATTTGCCTCTGCCTTCCCAGTGTGTAAAGCATTAAGCTACCTGCTTCCCGTGACCATGGACCAGAGGATACTTCAGGTCGGCTTTCTCCACCGTCTTGTATCCCCTGGAACAGAGGATCCAGCGTTGATTTGGGATTTGTCTGACTTAAAAGTACAACACAGCCCGAGTGTTTCAACTGTGATTCAACCCTTGTGGTGCCCCCACGCGCAGGCAGCTGACTGAAGCAGGGGCAAGGTGGCTTGCTGAAGCAGATGCAGTGACGAATGACCCTTTGCCAAATGCCCAGGTGTTTTTCCCTCTCCCCTTCCACCCCAGCTCGAACCTGCACCAGGCTGGGGCTCCTTGCACCAGCCCCACCTCGCAGGATCCCAGAAGGACCATCTCAGCTGCTCCCTAACCACCCCGCCAGGGCCCCAGTCCTTCAGTCAGTGGGGAGGTTGCTCACAGCATCCTTCACTCAATCTGGCACAGCTCTGCACTGTTAAGTCCACTGCTCTCACCAGCGGGGCATGCCCCTTCTCCCTTCGCCTCCCCATCACTGCCCTGTGCCGCAGCCTCATCCTCGGGCAGAAAGGACTCACCAGCCCTCCATGAAGTAATCCCGGTACAGGACTTTCTGGCCCACGTCATCTCCCTTCAACCTCCGTGGAAACTCAAAGCGCGTGAACTCGCCATCCAGGAGCTTGGGGAAGAGAAAAGCCTGGGGGAGGGAAGGAAGACGTGAGAATCGACGGGCTCTGCTTCACCGCAGTAGGGCACCGAAACTGCTTCTGCCTCGGGATTAGCACCCCCAGCAGAACGGAGAACAGAACTGGGAAAGCACATCCCAAGGAGAACATGAGCATCTCTCATACCAAAGGCTGTTGGTTGAATCTTGCTCCCAGCCCTCCTTGGCTAGTGCCAGGTGATATTCTGGCCACACAGTGGCCTTCAAGAAAAGCTGGTGGTGCTGCTGCCACAAGCCCTCTCTGACCCAGCAGGGTGCTGGCAGCTGGACTGCCTGATGCGTGGAAGGAGTCACTCACCAGGTGCTGGATTCGCTGCCTCTCTGTCTCGGGTGTGAACTCACAGCTCATGGGCACAACGCTGTCCTTCAGAACAAGAATTGCCCTGGGAGGGGGAAGAGGCAAAGAGCTGAGCTGTGTCTGTCACTGCAGCCCCCCTATTACCGGGGGTCAGCCAGGTGTGGGACTGGGAGTAACCAGTGGCAGAGCAATGCCAGAGAACAGCTCTGCATCCAGGAATGTTTTAAAACACCGGTGTACTTCAGATAACTCCAGTGCAATTGCACTGTCGCAGCAGAGAACTGAGCCTGCCTGGTTTGATGATGGTAGAGCTCACAGCTAGAGGAATAGCGGGCCAAGGTCAGATGAGGAAGCTCTTTAGAAGGCTTTGAAATCACCTTCCACTTTTAAACACCTTCCAGGCTGAGCTTACTCCTGCGCTACCATCCCAACGCTGCCCTGTGGCTGGGCAGCGTTAGTCCCTTGAAATCCCAAAACCCTTCCAGGAGGCATGAGAGCATCCATCCATCCAACAGCTCCTGTGGCAGGCAGGGAGGAAATGGCTGGGTTGCACATTTACCTTCCATAGGGTTAAATAAGATGCTGGAAACCCTGCTTATCTCCCAGCTCTCACATCCCAGCAACTTCCCCCTTTTATTGTGGCTCACCTGCTGTCCCCCGCGTTAGCCACATACAGCTTTCCCTGGAAATAAAGGGCAGCCAGAGCAGTGCAGCCTCCTGTCTGGTTTGTAGCTTCCATCTCCTGGCCGATGACTTCATCCTGTTGGTTTAAACAAGTCTGGAGAGTGACGTGAGCCAGGCTGCCGCCTTCTGCAGCTGCCTCATGCCCCCCAGCAGAAATCCAGAGCCAAAACCGACTGCAGATGGGCCACGGGAAACCAACAAGGCAAAAGATGATGTTGCTTCAGTACAGCCAACAAAGCTGTTGCTACTGGACCAAGGACCGCTTTATGAGCATGATGGGGGGATGTCCAACTTGTTTGCGCTGTACAAGTCTGACAACAGCCACCATCTAACACTAAAATGTATCCCCTGGGTGCAGTTTAGCAGAGATGCTGTAGCTTTGTTCTGGGTTGGCACTGCTGACGTGCGACGGCTCTGAGGCAAATTTTGGGGAGTGGACCCAGCGCAATCTCAGCATGCTTAAAGGTTTGGCAGAATGTTCCTGCCTGCTCGATGAGCTGCAAACCTTCCTCACCCCAGGCAGTGGGGAGGGACAGACGGACTGCTTGGGGCAGCAGGACTGGTGAGGCAGTGGGGAGGGACAGACGGACTGCTTGGGGCGGCAGGACTGGTGCCCTGCACAGGGTACTCACGCATTCCTGGAAGGCGTTCTCCAGGGCTCCCACCACCAGGTCTTCTGCGTGGATGTGCTTCTCCTCCACGAACTGGGGGTCGCTGTCGCAAACACAGCGTCCGCTCAGATGCATGGGGGGACGGGCCTCTGTGATGCCTCCCACAACCTCCTCCAGCTTCTGCTTGATGCAGTAGTGCAAATAGTTGGAGGCGATGATGGCAGCTTCTGGGCCGCCGTGGCCGTCAAACAGCGCCCAGTAGTAACCAGTCAGAAACTGCAGTGGGGAAGAGGGACAAGACAGCAATGAAGAGAGGGAGGACAGGGGCTGGAGAGGTTGTACAGATGGCAGGTTTACAGCCAGGACATCGCTGTATGTGTTTTGCCTGGCTCTTCAACCCCAGCTACCCGTCCCTGCCGTCAGTTAATCCCCTGCGCAGCTCAAACTCATGTGATGCCCATGTGCTGCTCCGCCAGACCCGACATCTGAGCTCTGAGCAGCTGGATTCGCAGCCACCCGCCCTCACGCGCTATTCCGCTGTGGTTTAGGGGAGATGGGGCCGTTTTACAAGTGGCGGGGCAGAGCTGTTCCCAGGTGAGAGCGTCCCGTGTGCCTGGTTCATGCTGCTGTCCCCCAGGGATGACAACACACACCGGCCCTTGAAAAAAGAGCGAGGACAGTAAAGGAAAGGTGAGGGCACCCAGTAAAGGGCTTGGACGACCTCAGATGCTGCAAGGCACGGGCCAAGGAAATAGAAATGGCAAGTACGGGCGGAGCTGGGTGTTTGCTGGCCACATATACAGTACATAGGTCCCCTGAATGCGTCCAAGGAAAGGTTTCATCACGTGGACGTGTAGGATTGATGAGGTAACCCTGTGTTTCTTATACCTGGGCCCTTGGGTGTGGATCAGGGCTGGCAGCAGGGTGAGCACAGCCTGCCCGTGGGCTATACCTGCGTGGAGCACAGGATCAGCCATTCCTCGTCCTCCTCCAGGCCCGGCTCTCTCCTCCGGATGGAGATCTGACAGCAGGCCGCTTGGTCCTCGTTGAACTCCGACTTCTCGGCATTGATAACCCTGGGGATGCAAACGCTCCTGGTAAGGCATGCGGATGCGCTGCACCTCGTGAAGGGCTGCACCTTGCCCCATCCTTCCAGCCCCTTTCCAAACTCGAGGATCTTTATGCTGAGGACCTAAATAACAAGTCCTGTACATACAGTAGGGAAAATCTTGGCCACGGACACAGGGGTGAGTGGTTTTGGAGCACCCTGGCCTCGGGCAGCCCTTGTCAGCAGCCCACGCCATCAATTTCCTTAGTGACACAGAGAACTGCAAAGCCACCGTCGCTGTTTTTCCTTCCAGCCTTGCTAATGTTTGTCCCTGGATGGGAGTATGCTCTCCATGCCCAGCTCCTCTCTCTGCACCTCGCCGTCCTGCGGCCACCGGGTCATGTCATAGTCCGGCCGGGACGTGGGGACAGCTCATGGCTGGAGTTGTTCCACCTGATCTGTCCCTTCTGCCCTTAGAAAAGGCTAACTCGGACACTTCTAAAAACTCGGCTTTCCCCTCCCTTTACTTTTAAGGCACTTTTCTCCGAGCAAGGGGACAGACGCCTGCTGCTCCTTGCCCCCAAAACCCACCCCCTCTGCTCCCCCATCCCTTCCCCCTGCGAGGGGGAC